GTGTGTGTGTGTGTGTGTGTGTGTGTGTGTGTTGGGAACCATTGCTCTAAAGAAAACACCTTCAGGCTAATCATCATCTTCCTCTTTCCAACACCTCAGAGTCGGAGTGAAAAAGTCATTCCATGTTATCATCTTCTCCACATTTTCGCCTCATTACCAGAAAAAACAAAACAAAAACAATTAGTTGCAACTTGACTGTGCAACCCCAGAATGTAAAACACAAATAACAGCTTTGGAAAGTTTTATTCTGAAACTACCTCAAAAGGTGCTGCCATAATTAGGGRCATAAAAGGTTTAGAAGAGGCAAAKCTATTAAAAATGGAGATTAGGGCAGCATTTCTTTGCCCAGGTTGACATTGTTGCTTTTTTTCCCCTTATTTGCCATTTTACTAGTAATGTCACAAACCATGACACTGTGCACAAACTGTTTCTGTGCGAGCTGAAACAAAAAGAACAAAACTTGCTCAGCTGAAAGAAAGAACAGAATGTTACAAAATAAATAACATGTCCTGCATGTTGCATCTAAAATTTAGCTTCACTTAACTTTCTTTCCACTCGACGGCTTTTCACTGTTTCTTCTTCATTATGCAACAGCCCTGGAATTCACTTTGTCATATTGTTTTTCAAGACTGTAAAACATGTCTTAGTTTTTCATAGAACAACAGTGCAAGTAAGATCAAAAGAAAAAAAAATCCCTGAACAAAAACAAAAACATAATCACGGTGGCATTTAGACACATAAACATACCACTTCCCCGCTTGCCTATACAATTTGCAACATAATGGTGGGTTTATAGGTCTGACTGTGCTGATAGTCTTGCTGGAAATCAATACCACCCACATGATGATGATTCCATGTACTATGCAGCAAAAAATAAATAAATAAATAAATAAAATTTAAAAAGGAACCATCCACCATAGGCAGAATAAAGCTAAATTCAAAAACAAGCTGCAGAGATGAGCCTCCTAATTCTTTTGCAACCTTGCCCAGCAAACTGACTTCTGCTCGTTACCATGAACAACCATTGAACACAAATTATACAACTTTTTTTTCACTATTTCTCTTTGTTTTGCATCAACCATACTGATAAAAACGCTTAAAATTTGTTTTATAAGCTCAGTTAACTTGTTTCTAACTATGATTACTGTGTATCAGATGAAGCCCAACATGAATCACCCTTATGATTATCTATGTACTTCAGCTAATTCTCTTAAAACCTTGAGTGCATGATAGCAGTATGTGTATGGAGGACCGTATCTGACATAATTAGAAATAAAAGCAGAAAACTATGAAAGGACTAATAAATAAATAAATAAGTACACTTGAAATGCACCATTTAAATTATAAAAGAACTTTACCTCGTGTTTTATAATTTAATTCACCTTCATATTTAATTTTCCAGCTTTATTCCAATAAATTATATATTTTAGCACATAATTTACCTTTGACTGAGTGTTGTTTTTAACTAAACTTTAAACTTTAAGCAAAACTGAGTTAGCACAAGCATGCACAGTAGATCTGCACATGGATCCTGCTGCTTCCTGTCTGTTGACCAATAGGAGAGCCGCTGAACCACTAAGCCCCGCCCACCTTATTTGCATAATGAGGCAGAAAGGCATAAGGTAAAGTAAAAACAGGAGACAGAGAAATGTAAAAGCAACACATGGAAATAAAAAAGTTATTAAAAACAAACATTTAGGAGACACAAATGCATGTACATGTAATGAAAGATGATTTTTAAAAGCAGTAAAATGTAAATAGTGTGCTAAAATACATAATTTATTTGAACTAAGCTGGAGAAATAAATATAAAAGTGAATTAAATTATAAAACATGACGTAAAGTTCTCCATTTATAATTTAATTGGTGCATTTTAGGTGTATTTATTTATTTATTGGGCCATTTCTTTATTTCTGCTTTTATTTTTATTTATGTCAGTTTCGGTCCTCCATATAAGTGATGCTCTGGGGCATGAAATCCTTGTATTTAAAGGATGCTGTGTAGAAAACAGTTGTACTCACTTCCTGAAGGTTGGTATAGATCCCTGTAGGGACCGTCCAGGGGACGTCCYTGACCCGTGGCTCTGTCCTGAAAGCAAACTGTCCGTTTCAAAGGCAAACATCCCGTCACGGTCATCAGGAACATCCAGGAACTCTCCGTCACTCCACACTCCCACCGTCCCATCCATCGGCTGGTATCTGATCTCTATCGTGACGCTGGTCTGAAAATACAAGCGCTGATGAAAGAGAGCCTAAAAGACGAGGCGTCATTCATCCTCAAGGCGTTATTAGAAATTTACATCGACTTTTGTGAAAACAAAAAGTCTCACATGGCTCTAATCTCCTCCTTATTGGCATCAGGATGAACTGCTCGTGTAATCTAATAACGCTGGAGGAACTTTAAGATTTAAAAAGTAAACTCGAACCTATTTTGCACAACAAGTTTTGTTGAAACGCTGGCAGGTCATTAAACACCAAACATCCATCATCATCATCTCTGCTCACGTTTTTCTTTCTGGGTCACGGGGCTCTWTGCTGCACATGTCCATCACCGAGCGAGGGTAAAACCCTGGACAGGTCACAAGGTTGCTCTCGTAATACCTGTATGTAATGGCTCATTTCAACACAGATGTGTTGAAATGAGTTATCTTCTTAGAAGTAGCTCTAAAACCACCTAAAGCCTAAATGCTAATCCAACTAAATTAATTAAAACACATTTTTACATTAAAGTTAAGAGGATATTTTACTTGTTTTTTTTATTTTATTTTATTTTATTTTTGCTTTGAGCTGTATCTTGTCTTGTAAAAAATTAAAGTGTGTGTGTGGGGAGGGGGTATCTCCTCTTATATAACTTTTTATCTGAAGAAAAACAGCTGCTGCTGCTCATCAGAACTTAAAAAGTTATAAATAATTTCGGGACTCCTCTTTTTTTAAGCTTCTTTTACTACCATGTTTTTCTTGAACATAGTTTAAGCTCCATCAGTGGAGCTGCATGGTTGTGTTTTCTGTTGATGTTCATGAGAAACGAAAAGGTCGTAAAACCAACATTTGGGACCAGAGACCAGTAAGACCAGTTGTAAAATTAGTCTTTTTTTAAATTATGCAGAAAAAAGAAAGTTGTATTATTCTGTTATCATTAAGATTTATGGCTCTTTTATATGTTTTGTTTGCTTTTTTGCCGAGACAGATTTGAGACTTTAATCAATTACAAATGTTTTAATATCTCTTTTAAGATTTCGAAGGATTTTCTCCACGTTGTGTTTTATTATATTGTAASGAACCGAGGTCTCCATGTTTGCAACAAACTTGACTGTAAATCATTTCCCCCCTGTTGTTTGCGGGAGGAATTCAGATTGAGATTTTAATGCAGGTCAGGAAACATGGCAGGCTTCGTGGTTCGTCTTCAGCGTGTCGTGTTGGAGACACGTTTGGACAAACATGACCTGATCTTTATTACAACGTGTCCGATTTATTCCACTGACAAGGACTGATGAGGGGGGAAATAAATAAATATATATACATATATATGTGGTGCTCCTTCTCTCTGCTTCGCGCTCTTTTCCCCCTGCAACACATCCTCACCACTGACTGTGGTCCAGCAGGAGTTAGATGTGTTACCATGGCAACAACACTATAGTGCAGAGTTGTGCATCCAGTGCTGCTCTCAGGGAATGTGCAGTTTGGTTTTACGGCTCTCCTGCCACATGGATGAACGTTGCGTGTTGTCTGAAGTCCGCCCCGTGTGAACGTGAACACCAAACTCCCATGCGATGTTTCCTCGTCGCAGAAACATCCCATCAGCACCGACTCTCCTCTGCTCGCTCCCCGGGGTGGTTTCACATTTTACACGCTTCTGTTTTCCTTTACACGTTCCCACCACGYCGTCCCCGCTCTCCTACACATTTCATATTCAGCACAGACTCGCACTCCCGCCCCACCACTGAGCACGATTTAAAATCAATAAAATATCTGGATCGGCGTTGATGATGTGTGAGAATTTGCTGATGTTGCGACCGGAGCGTTGTAATTCCTTCAGCTTCTTGTTGAGGTGAAGCTCTTTAACACCGGGCTCTTTATAAGCAAACAATGGCTGTAAATCACTTGTTGGCAAGCAGAAAGCACATTTATTCTCTTTTTTTTAATGATTCCCTGTGAGGTTGTGAGAGCAGCAGCTGATATTACTGCTGAGAAAACTGCCTGTTAACTACAGTATGTGACTTAAGTTAACAGGTTAAAGTGTTAAACCATCAGGAACCTTTAAAATAGGAGTTCTTAAACTTTTTGACCTCGGGGCCCAATTTGTTGTTAACATAATCA